GCATTACTTCAAGCTTTTGATACTAAAGATTACTATTTAACTAATATATTGAGCTTAATAACTAACAGATCCACAAGGAGATAGATCCTATCTTAAACATTACTTTTGTAATAAACTAATTCATTTCTTAGGTATTATTCATGTAATTATGTAGCTATATCCTTAATTAAACAAATTTTCTGCAGTCTTTATACTTTTCTTAAGCTAAATTATAAATTCCAAGTCAAACAATAGTTTGAATATCATCAATGTTAGATTACAAATCTAACAACTTAATAGTCATACTCTACTGGTTGAGTGCAAAATTCTGCCTATTTAGCACTTTCCGGTTACCGGAAACATCAACCGTCCTTCCACAAGCCACGGTGGCCCGACGGCCGCAGGCTGAGATCAATAACAGTATAACTGAAAATAAAGAATGCTTTCCTGTAAAGATTCGCATTTTGAGATCAATAATCTAAGAATAGGCATTTATTACTAAAACCCAAATTTTATCAAATTGACAAAACCTAAATCTTCAATCATCTCAAGTGGCTTCATTTCAAATTTCAATTGTCCCATTAATTATTTATCTAAAGATAACAGAGGCATTTTGGGACTCACTTGCTAAGTGGTCGCCGAAAAACGATGAGGTCGCTGGAATCGAGCAGGAGACGCGATTCCTGGCGGTGGAAGCAGAACTGCGATTCTGCCATGTTGCCGACTTCACGCCAGAGAGGAGGAAGAAGGAGGCTGAAGCATCTGCGGCGGTGACGCGACGGCGAGGTGGCGCTAGGTATTCTGGTGGTCGGACAAAAACGAGAGGAGGAGAAGGCAGTGAGGTCGACTGCGCCGCAAGAAAAAAACGGGAAGAGGAGAGGCAGTGGAAAGGTCGCTGCCAAGTTCGATGGTGGCACGATGGATGGTTCGGTCGGCTCAGGTAGCGGAAACGGAAGGAGCGAAAGGCGGCGAGAGGAGGCTCGCAGCGCTGGTGCTAGCGCAGGAAGAGAGGGAAAAAAGAAAAGTAAAGAAAAGGAAAAAGAAAAAGAAAAAGCAAAAAGAAAAAAAATCTTGGGGGGCTTTCTAGACCATTCCGGTCGATTCGAACCGGGTTTGGTCTAATTTAAATGATTCGGATCGATTTTTTTGCTCGATTTTTCAAGTTTTTCATCAATTGTTTTTGAATTATTCTTGTGGTTTTTCTGATTTTTTTGGGCTTTGGGCCCATTTGAAAATTTGGGGCTCGGACTTGAGCCTGTTTTTACATTTACAGCCACACGGCAATTTGCGATTTCTTTGATTTAAAAAAATTCGACAGGTTTTGAAAATAAAAATTCGGGGGTATACAGTAGACTTTGTTCAAATTACAAGCACTTATATATTAGTTCTAGATATCACATACATCTTCAGTTTTAACATGAGAAGCAACTGCTTTCTTTTAAAGGAAATAACATAATATTGTACCCGTTTCAACGTGGAAACAAGTCTAGTCATCATCCAATTTAATGAGGAAACATTGATCAGAAATAATTTAGATGACCATTATGATGCAAAAAAACAACTCATATTATAACCATATTTATTTGCAAAAAATTTGTTCTTATGAAAACTTTATCTTTTTCTACTGAAATTCATAAATAAAATAGAATATAAAAGATAAATAAATATTTTTTATTAATAATAAAATATTTATTACATAAAATATTATATCCAAAATATAACCAATTAAATTGGTCTACAAGGCATATAACTAATATGAATTCATCTCAGGTCTTTACATGATGTGTAGCCTGTGGTTCCTCCTTAATTTGGAACTTGTTCATTATAGGGAATAAGATATTTGAAATAGGTTAAATAATCCAGATTGAATAATCGTGACTTGCAGCTTCTGATCTCTCACTGTGAGGAGAGTTAGCCCACGATTGCTCTTAGAAATTTGGTATGATGATAGTTTACATTTAAGTTGAATATGAATTGAGAATTTGTTGATGTTTATGAAGATTAAAGGTTTTTTATTTGTAAAAATAGAAAAATAAGATGTATCCACGCTCACTGCACCAAATGATAGCTTCCAAAATTTCTAAGATTATTAAAAAGTAAAAATTTTATGTCTAGGGTTTGATCCCCCATTTTAAAGAGTTAATATGTATATATAGAGTCTTTTCTTAGGAGGCAAGTCATCCTCTATTTAGGAAGATGAAAATCCTAAGAGGAGCTCTAGTTGAATATCCTAATTAATCTTGGAAATTATATAGATGCTTTATGTAAATTCCCCTGGGATTAGCTACACTCTTACTTCAACTGGAAGTAGAGTTTTTATTATAAATTTTTATTTTGATTCTTTAATCTCTTTGATTTGTGCTCTTGATTTGTTCGTCAGTGTTAAAAAATATAGAATATTTTATATTTTGATCTTTTATGCTTCGTTTTTTATGCTTCGTTAATTTGTTATAGATGAATTTAAAATATTGAGTTTATATTATTGCTATATAAATTATATTTATATTTATACCAATTATATTTATATTATTGCTATATAATATTTTATATTTTTATTAAAATAAAATATATAAACAAAAATAATATTAATAAAATGATTACATTAATTTAGTGATAATGTACAATTAACTTAAATCTCTCTCCTCAATAATAAAAAAATATTAAAATACTAAAATAAAATATTAAAATAAAAAATACGATAATAAGAAAATATTTTTCTAAAAAATAATCTTTTTAAATGATTTTGGCCAATTTTTTATAAAGTAAATAACTTAAATAAGTAAAAAAAAATTATCTGTAGAAGGAGAATGTTAGTTTTGTCATAAAAATTGAATTCTTTAGTTTCGTGAAATTTATTTGGAAATTTCATCTATTTTTGTGAAATTTCGTGTAGTTATATTCATTTTCATAAAATTGAAATTTACATTTTTTATTTATTTGGAAATTTCATCTATTTTTGTGAAATTTCGTGTAGTTATATTCATTTTCATAAAATTGAAATTTACATTTTTTTTATTCTAAACATAAAAATATAGATTTATAAATAAATGTAGTGAAATTCATTTGCTCAAACAAGGTTTTAATCTTTCTTTTATTTGTGTTCTTAAATTGTTTGTTGGGATTGCAAAAAAAAAAAAAGAATGATTTGATAGATCTAATAAAAAGGCGTTCTATATTAAAATATGATAGAATCTTGAAAAAACAAACAGAATAGAAATAATATTGTAAGATACATTTTATTTTTTACTTATCTTTGATAATTTAATATTATAATATTAAATGACTAATATTTAAATTCAAATTCATATCCATAATATATTATAATTATGTTTATGGCTAATATTTAGATTTAATATTAAAATTAAAAAATAATAAATATTACTCGATTAGGAATTTCAATAATAATGGGCTATATTTGAATTTAATTAGAAATCATAATCTTAAAATTAGAAAAAAAAAAGATAAATATTTTTTGTCACATTTGTTATGTTGATTTATTATAAGCGAACGCATAAATTGCTCCCTCAACTTTCATAAAAAAACTTTATGATTCTTTCAACTTTTCAAATGACCTTAAAACCCCTTAAATTTTACTTCTTGTAATAATTATACACTAAACTTTACTATTTATACTACTAACACTCCTCCCTATAGTAAAAAATGCATGGTGGAATACACGTGTGATGACGTGGAAAATTATTATTCCAAATGGCAATTAATTTTGCCACATCATCTCATCTCTACCATTCACCTACCCTATCATCAACACCAACACCGCCATCTTCATCTTTATCCCTTCTTCAAGCACTACCGCTTCTCTCAGTCATGATTAGAACAAAGAACAAAAGCCAAGAAACCCGAGAAAGCAACAAAGGGAGACGAACCCAAAGCCAATCCTTCTTCACTTTACCTCGTGCATGATTCACAAGACAGGCAAAAGAAACTAAGAAGGAAAAATCACAAGAAATTGATATAAAAAGAAGAGCAGAGAAAATGGAAAAGACCAACGATAAAGAAAAGTGGAGGAGGACCACCAGCTTGTGCCGTCGAGCCCGTTGTAACGACCACCAGAACCTCTTCAATTATACGTCAGACTCGTTTGAATTATTCCTCAATGGGATCTGAGTTGTTGGTCCGGTGCATGGATTATAGTGTCTGTATGCTCCGTAGGCCTTCAGTGCCACAAAACATTTAAAAAAGGAAAACGATAATTAGAACTTGAATTATGGAATCTAGAACAGAGTGAGGGTTTTAGATTTTGGAAGTACCTGATAAATGAGGGATTTGATTGTTTGATGTTGTTTGGTTTTGTGAGCATTATCTGTGGCAGACTCATCCGATTGACTCAGTGAGTTATCACCAGATTGCTTTGGTCGAGTTATACACATCTATCATTTTTCATTTTTCAATTTTCAATTCTGAGAAAGAGATTAAAAAATATATGTTATGGCGGAGTCCATGCTACACACTTCTTTCTCCATCACCCTCTCTACAGTGCGTCAGCATGCAATTATTACAAATAGTAAAAGTTCAGAAAAACGATTTATACATTCGCTGTCGTTAGGACATCTAAGGATAAACCAATTTAGAGTTGGACAAGATGAGACATACTTGAGATATTAAAGACTGAAACTTGCGTTATATATAATTATATTATTTTTAAAATATTTATACAACAAATTCTCCAATGAGTGTTTCTAAATTAAAATACTGATTAAGGAAGTTCTTAAATTTAAAAAACAAAATGATTGATAAGTTGTACTAAAAAATAACGTTATAACATGTCATCGTTTTAAAAACATTATAGAAAGAACGTATTATCTGTGGTTGCTGTCGTTGCTGATAGAGTAAAGGCATCTTAGCTAGACTAATGATTTCATAATTTGGATTTAAATCCGAAATTTAAAAAAAGAATAAAGAAAAGGAAGTAATACTCTATTTTCTAATTATTGAAAATTTTAAATTCGAACTGAATTTACTAACGGATCTTACTATGCAACTATACATTCAAGTCTTATATATATATAATTTTATTTATATATGGATTTGCATACATTTCCACTTGATTTTATTTTTTTCTATTATTTGATAATGATAGACAAGGGAGAAAGAAAACACCTACCGGTACTACACTGCCAAAATTGATCGTACGACAAAACGTTTTAATTCCCTTTTTCTATTTTCTAACCCTCAATTTTACATCAGGCTCAAATGAAATCAACTCCTTGGATTCCAGCCAAGCCTTAACAACAACAACAGAATCAAAAACCTTCATTTCTCCATTAACTTTTGTTGCGGCCTCAATTTTCAGATAATATTTTATTCCAGAAACTACCTGCCTCTGCGCCTCCACTACTTCCGAGAATATTAGTTCTTCTCCGCCGTTGCCGTGGCGGTGAATCTGCTCGTTGAACTCCTCGACGGAGAATTTGCCCAGATCTTGCACCTCTTGATTAGTCTCTACGTCCTTCACTTCCGTTCTGCCTCCAACCATTCCTCTGTAACCATTTGCTAAGGAAACAAAGAGAAATGCAGAGGCCAGAAGAAGAAGAAGCTCAACAATTTTTGCCATTTCTCTTTTCTGTTTCTTGTACTGTATCATATGTTGTGATGATGGTGTTTCGTTGTGTATTTATAAGGAAAATGTGAGGCCTCACGGAGCCGTGAGTCTTAACAATGTCGCGGATGGGGTGGGTCCACAAAACATATAATATATTTTTTTAAATTAAACTCTCTTTTTAATATAATATCTTATAATCCCATTTGAACAACAAAAATATAATATCTTATAACCTTGATTAGTTATAAAAATATCTAATTTTCATATTAAATAATTAAATTTTACATACATTTGATGTCATAAATGTTTTTTATATAAGCCTTAGTGTAAATTTTAAAATCTAAATAATTTTTAATTTTTTATTAGTTTCAAGTGATACGGAAATAAGTGTTATTAAATAATTTAAAATTACCGAGTGAAATTTTAATTTTTCAAAAATTATTAAATAGTGTAATAATTTTTATTTAATTTAGTTTTATTTGTCCTTTTAGAAATTGTTTTGTTTAAAATTATTTTTTTAGAAGATAAAACGAGTATTAACTGTTTTTTTTAGTCTTACTTTTATCTCAATTGGATAAAATAAGGAGAAATATAATCAAACTAAATAATATTTTAATATAATTTAGATTATTTTTTTGTGTAAACTACGAGTATCCGGACTCTCTTACTAGGGACCACTTAATCCGGTTCAAAATTTAGTCACGGTTAAAACTCCTCTCCATTTTTGGCAGGTGCGTTTAGTGGGGATCGAATCGGAGAATTCTTCCTATTTGCACAGCCTCTATTGCCATCTGAGTCACAAATAGTTGCACAACCTAATAGTTTCATAAGTCATTATATAAAAATCTTAAATGATTTAGAAAAATGAAGAGAAAGAATAAAGACCTAAAAGCCCTATAAGTATAAAAAAGATTTTAATATTGCTAGAATTTGTCAATTATACAATTAGCGCTGCATAAAAACAATATCATTGGCCATTCGATTTTTAATTTATTCTTATTATAAACAAATACATCAATGGATTGACTAATCCAAGATTCATTGGCAAAGGTTTGTTTTACTCGAAAACCTGTTAATTTGATGATTACTAGAATTAAAATTGTATTGCTTTTTACATCTAAACAACTTACTCGATATTTTATTAAAAAAGAAAGCTTTGTTTGATATAAAAAAAGATAGGGTGTTTGGACACGCAAATTAAGGAGGAGGGGGTGCGGATTGCAACAGCGGAGTGCCGCGTAATTTGGACAAATTCGAAAACGACAGAAACTATTTGTCTGGTTAACGTTATCGTCTCGGGTGTTGAATGAGGTGTCGTTTGTTGATGGAATTACATGCACTTTGACAGATGGCAGTATCAGGGCTATGCATGGTGGCTCTGTTTCGGCTTTGCTGTCCACCCATTGTTACGGCATCCTGCAACTTGTTTTCCAGCATCCAGTTTTTGATTTTTCATATTTTCGTGTTTGCTGTCCAACCCATTGTTACGGCATCTGCAACTTGTTTTCCGCATTTCCCAGTGTTTTGATTTCATATATATATATATAGTATATATATATATATTATATATATATAATATATAAAATATATATAAAATGTAATTTTTATCTATAATACAATAATTAATTCAAATTTGAGTGATAATTAATGATCCAAATTATAAAATTGAACTATTTTTTAAATTCTTAGAATCATTCTTGAAAATATTAATAATTTGTTTTAATAATTATAAAAATAATTATATACTTTTCCACAATTGGTTCATTAAGATGTCAAACGTTAAATGATCTTAGTTATTAACATTTAAAGTACTCCGATTTTCAGTTAGCTAATTGATTGGTAAAATTTTTCATTTAAAAATAATGCTATTATATTCCACTATTTTATACTTTCGTAATAGAAATTTATTTTGAGAATGTATTTTTACAGCCTTTACAATAGCTATGAAATTAAAAGCTTGAATTTTAATTTCTTATAAAAATAATTAAATATACAATTTTAATAAAAAAAATCAAAAAATAAAGTTGATAATACGACATAATATTTCTTTTGGATATAAATAAAAAAATATTGTACTCATTCTCCATTGAATATCTATTCTAAATTTATCTTTAGAATAAATTTTTTAATTTATTAAATGTGTAATGAAATTTTGTTTTTACAAATCAAAAATCATCTTTATGCAATATACTAAAACAACTATATACGTGCGTGCACATGCCGGAGAAAGTTTCAAACGTTCTTTTTGTCACATTTCGTTTTTTTTGAATATTTTCTGTATTTTAATTGGCCAACATAATTATTTCTCTAATTTAATATTTAATATATAGTAATGATAATTGTTAAAACCTAATTTAATGCAATTAAAACATCATTTTTAAAAATCTAATCTAATTCAATTAAAACATTATCTTTTAAATTTTTAACCTAAAATCTAGCTATATATAGTTGAATTAAATAATATTATTGTATATTTCTACGTCAAAAGCTTCATGATTGGCTCTCGTTTGATGTGTTTATAAGTGTAATGAATTTATGGTACATATATTTTTTTTTTATTTTTTTATCTTGATTTGTCTTATTTTTTATCCAGTAAAATCAAAATATTGAATTCCAAAATAAATCAGATCGTTGTTCTGAGTTCAAGGAGGTAAATCAATTAATTTATTTATTTAGTTGTTTTAATTCATCTAATTTGATATAATAATTAATTATATTTTCTTTTTAATTTCAGATACAAAGTTCACCCAATTCAAACATCAATTTTGGGTTTGGTGATGATTGTGATACACTTCAAGAAAATAAATTTGGTAGATTGATAACTATTATTAAATGAATTGAATTGTGTTTTCAAGATAAAGGAATTTAACAAACTGCATTAATGAAACAAGAGTTGTTTTAAAGGAGATCAAATGAGTTAATGGTGCTGCATTCAGATATAGAAGAATCCTGTTTTTATTCTAGATTTATATTTTGCTTGTATGGTTTGGAACTAATTATAGATGACTTTTACATTTCCTACTTGCTTTTTGAATTTATTATTGTTGCATGTCTATTACTAAAATGTTAACAAAAATATATTACTAAAATATTTTAAAAATGTTATTTTTAAATATACTAATCAATATAGAATTTAACTTCTTATATTGATCAGAGAAGTTTTAGAAAATTACTATAAGAATATATCTACTAGTTATACCCATTAAGATCGTGATCTTTTTCAAGTTATCTTTCGTTTTCGATTGTTAAGAGAGCAAGTATATTGATTAGTATATTTAAATAACATTTTTAAAAGACTTTTCAGTAAAATTGAATTCTAATTTATTAAACCCATTATACACTTAATATATATAGTTAATAAAATTGAATTCTAATTTATTAAACCCATTATACACTTAATATATATAGTTAATTAATAAAATATTTAATTGAATAAATATCAATATAATAACAAAATCATTTGATAGAGATTAATTAGTATGCGATATTAATTGATAAAATTAAAAGAACTAGTTAGATTTGATAAAAACGTTAAAGTTCAGGTTTTTTTTTTTTTCTAAGTGTCACGACCCATTTCCATGGGCCGGACCGGCACTAGGGCCCAGGTAGGCTTAAGGCCTCCGAGGCCCGTAGTAAGCCTGAAACACTACAAATAAACACTCAAATTTTGCATATCTCAATATAATTTAAACATTTACAAATTTCACTTATTTAATAAAACAGGCTCACAGAATTATTCCATCTATTAATAATACACAACTTAAAAGTATACAAATTTCTTATAACTGCGCGAGTTTCATTGACAGATGTATACATATAAGTCTTCGCGACATTTATCTTATTTAATTGATCAATGACGAAAATTAGCGAATTTCTTTTTTTTATAGTGAAGAGAAGAAAACAGAGTTTATAGCTGGGATTTAAGAAAAGCCTACTTCCCTGAAAGATTTAAACAAAAGAGATGTGAGTTTATTAATGAATTAATAATTATTGCACAACCCACAAGCATTCACTACCATTGTATAAATATATCAACCTTAGTCATCCCGACCTAGGTATATGCTCACACAAGCCAGATCAACAAATGCCATTATCACCAGCACTCCACAATTATTAACATCTTCATATAATCACATCACGTGGAAATTAGTCAGTTTTGAAGTCACCGAAAGCCCCCGTGAGCCGTCCTCCCGCATGGCTCATCCTCTCACTATGTGCACCAGCGGAGCCGATCCCCATACTAGGCCGACCGGTCTAATACCTCACTTGACCAGCCCTCTCATTTTTTCTTTTCCATTCATCTCTTTTCTTTTCCTACCAACAGGAGGCAACCGGTCGTCTCATCAAATCCTAGATCATCAGGCGCTCACAACAGGAGCCACCCTGCGGGCCTGCGATCAAAATCTAGATTATCCGGTGCCCGCCCAATTAAAGAAGCCCAACCTGTTGGCTAACAGTAACGGTAACAGTAGCGTGCCACATAAGGGGCGCAGATCTCCCATTCTACCCGGCTAACAGAAACAGAATCAGGATCCATAATAACAGAAATTCAGAATCAGGATCCGTTATAACTAGAACAGTCTCACAAACACCTATGGATGGACCCACTTTCATGCCCAATTCCACACAAACAAAAGCACAGCAATATCACAACACCAATAAATCTAAACATTTGCATTCAAATCAGACATAATTATCTCAATTAGACATCGCTAATGCAATGCCACAATTAAACATCCAAAATTCAATGCAAATAAAATAAATAAATAAATAGTATTAGCCAATTAACAACTAATAATAAAATAAATTAAAATGAATATGTAAATTAGTTTAAATGCAATAATAAAGATTATATAAACCAACCAGAGCACTATATTTATTATGTACAACAAACTTATAGAACTAATTCTAAATAAACTATTAATTATGTTGCCTTAATTAAAAATTTTAGTTTAATTTCTGTCAAATTTTTCGCAGCACCTCCCCCTAAAAATATGGACTATTTACATCTGCCTCACATACTCACAATATCTTATATCTTTATCAATTAAAGCACACA